ATAGCATAGCTCTACCGCTTATGCTGCCATCTCACTCATGTAAATTAAATGTATTAAATCACTGGCCGATTATCTACGCCACCATATAATCGGCGTGGGCAATTTAACCATATAACGCGACGGTTAAATGAGTTGATGTATTCATTGCATTCATTTCATCGATAAGAGTGTCTGGAAAAGGGAGACCTTCGATGTCTATTAGGGAGAGACCGACCGCATGGACACTGACCTCCATATTGAGAGCCAACCTATTGGTCACCACATCGTTGCAGACAATACTGTCGCTCATTGTGGCCATCGGTGTGCACGACATAACCAATTACGTGGTGATCACACTGTTCACCATGGTGCTGCTCACCACCACCACGATCGGTTTGATGCGTGACAGCGCCGGTATGCTATACGTTAACACAGTGGCCGCCATCGGCTACTGTCTATACCTGTATGACGGGAAGGGGTGGGCAGTGGGCGCCGCTATTGTGAGTTTGGCGGTCAATACGGTTGTGTCGCTGACCGTTGCCGTTGTGTTTACCGTAAACGAGTGCTACGCGAGGGATATCTACCGTAACTGTCGGCTCCGGGAAGAGGTGGCCTCACCCCTGGCCCTACCCGTGAAGACCATTAGTGGCAACTATACGGTGCCCAACATATTGCGCGACGGCTACGAGAAGTACGTGATGTCCGGCACCGGAGTTACCGATAAAAATGATAATTGTCTTATTATGCGCTCGGAATCGCTTCATATAATCCTTGAATAGATTTTGGTTTGAATATGAAATGTGAATGTTTTGCATGTTATATACAATGAGATATTGTATTGTGTTTTTTCTTGGTTTTATTTATATTTAAATGTAATAATTTTTATTTATAAACTAATTTAGTTATTCTGAAAATATGTTTTATTTAGTGTACATTAGATGTTGCCATAAAATATAGTAATAATTATTTTAATAAGTGATAATAAGTATTATTAATTAATTGAAATATGTTTATTATTAAATAAATTGCCTATATAGTGTAACTTGATATTTAAAATAACACAAGATTTCAATATGGTATTTTAATAACCATAATTGATTTTAAAATTATTACTTACGGCCAGTTATTATAATAAAGTATGTTTTAATCTATATTTAGTATTGTAATTCAGAAATATTATACTATTAAATAGTAGTGATTGACACGAAATTTATTTAATCTATTTAATATTTAATTTAGTATTATATTAGATATTTTCATAAAACAAGTAATAACTGAAATGTTGTCATTGAATACGAAGACAGCGATTGTTTGGATTGATTTGAGTTTTAAAATAAAATCATTGATTACTAGAGAAGAAAAAGTGATTTTGAATAGTGTTACGGGTTTTGGAGAGTTTGGATGTTTGACAGGAGTTATGGGTCCGTCGGGTGCGGGACTCACATCACTGTTGATGTGTTTGAATGGTATGAATAACAGAAGATTAGGCGCCAAAACACGGATTCGTTTGAGTCGTGACCACAAAATCAGATCCGCTTTTATCGGACACAACGAGAAAGACTTTCTAGTAATGGGTTTAACGGCTAAACAAAACATGATTTACGCCTCGAGACTGAAAAACAGTGATTTAGGACCTGAAGGACAGGCATTTGACCACCAGATGAATGTGTCGGCAATAATGGCCGACCTATTGATGAGCGACACAATGAACACTCGGGCCGATCGATGCAGTGGTGGTGAACAGAAACGACTGGCCATTGCTGTCGAGTTGACGGCATTTCACAAACCAAACCTCATATTATTTGATGAGCCGACCACTGGTTTAGACAGTAATGTCGCTGAAGTGGTCAGTATTGTTACCATTAATATAAATTATTTTACATTTTTAAAAATTCATTTACTTCTTAACCAACAGGTAATTCAGTGTATAAAAAGTTTGGCCCAAAAGCACAACATATGTATTATAGCGACTATACATCAGCCAAATTCAGATGTATTGCAAATGTTTGACAATTTGTATGTATTGGCAAAGGGAGGACAGTGTGTATACTTCGGCCCACCCGTCCATTTACGGCATCACTTGAGCTCATCCAACATTGTCTGCAATGAGAATCAGGTGCCGATCGAACACTTGTTGACCATCGCATCCAAAGGTATGGAAGACACAGATGTGGTTCAGTTGAGGGAAAGGACAATACAATCAGTGAATCAATTGATTCAAAGCAAGACTAATGAGACAATTGACAAACAAATACAACCAAAAAGTAAACGATTTCTGTTCAAAGATGTGTTTGTCTTAACCCAGCGATGGATTACAGAGTTTTACTCATATCGATGGCGGATATATCTGTTGAATATGACAGTCCTTGTGTTGGGTGCGACCACTTTGGCACTTAACGATTTCTGTTCAAAGATGTGTTTATCTTAACCCAGCGATGGATTACAGAGTTTTACTCATATCGATGGCGGATATATCTGTTGAATATGACAGTCCTTGTGTTGGGTGCGACCACTTTGGCACTGATGTCCGGCTCAGACATCGGTCAATACGACAACTGTATGACAGGAGTGGGCGTTGAGAGCAACGAGACTTGTCTGGAGATATTAGACCGCGACTATCAGACCAATAGAAACTATTGTTTCATATTATTCACAATATGGGTCTCACAACTGATTCTTATTAATCAAACCACTCGTGATATGATCAACAAAATGATGGTCTTTGTCAACGAACACCACAATAGTTGAGTTATTTATATTTAATTGTATTTAAGTGAAAAATATTTACTTTGAAATCCAAAATTAGTAGTAATTATATCAAATTCACACAATTATAGTTATGCATAGGGTCTCTATTTTTCGGGAACTCCCGAATAAATTTAGTGAATAAAAACATCGGGAATTACATACCGTTAGGCATATGGGCCAAAATAGGACCAATATATATAGTTTTTATATTCCCGATTTTCGCATATTTTGAGAAAACTCCCGAAAAGTCCCGAAAACTCCCGATTATGAAAAAATAGTCCCGAAAATGCACTTTTGCTACGAAAACCCCCTATAACTAGAATGTCGAGTTTGTGCATCTGTGTACACTCAGTCTTTTTAATGCAAATAGTCATTTATGTATTATTACTATACTATTCATACAATAGTTCAAAAATTAACTTGATCAATCAATAATCACGTCTAATTAAAAGCAGTATTTTTTATGACTCGACAATCTAGCCCTATAATCATCGCTTTTTCTTTGAATATTTTAATCAAATATTAAATAAATACCAAAAGATGTTATAAAGTTGAAATAATGTGTAATCAAGTTATTATTAGGGTTCTGTAATTCACAAGATTTTGAGATGAGATGTCTTACAAAATATGCAACGATTGTCTCCGTCTCTGTCAAGCGTTTTATCTCTCAATTTAAGAATATTATTACAGATAGAAGGCATAGATTTACAGAAAATATATTAAATTTCATGTTATTGTATTAAAATCATTAAAATATAATTCATTTTTAAACGATTTAAATGCATAATTATTGTTTTAATGTCAAAATATAATACATTTTAACTCCCGATTTTATTCCCGAATTTGGATGTTTTATGCTCCCGATTCCCGCCCGAATTTGAGGGTTTTTATTCACGAAAAAAGAGACTCTAGTTATACAGAATTTATATAAAATTAATCGTACATGGCTGAGTACTGACTACATTAAACAAACAATTAATTTAACAATTTACTTTAAAAGGCTGGTACAGTACGAGTGTATTCATAATCACCCAAAACATGCTGGAGTTAATCCCGACCACAATAGGTGCAAGTTTAATAACAAGCATCATGTTTTATACGACAGACCAATACAATGAGGGCAACAGAATTTACATGTTTTTCTATGCCATGCAGTTGTGTTTGCACAGCACACAGGGTGTGGCATACATGACGGTGGCCTTGTTTTACCGACATCGACAGGTGGCATTCATGGTGGCCACTAATATAGCCCTTATACACGCCCTGTTATGCGGTTATTTCGTTATTTTAGACGACATGGGCGATATCTTTCAGTTTTTAAGTAATATCTCTCAATTGGGATTTTCAGCGAATGCTATTTTTGTGGCCACTTATGGCTTCGGCCGCTGTCCTGACCATCAGTTCTCAAAATTATTACACGAAAGGCATATCAATGATGACAATATCTATTGGAAATATACCAACTATTTATGGACTCAGTTGCTATTTTTGTGGCCACTTATGGCTTCGGCCGCTGTCCTGACCATCAGTTCTCAAAATTATTACACGAAAGGCATATCAATGATGACAATATCTATTGGAAATATACCAACTATTTATGGACTCAGTTAATTGTTTATAGATATTTGGCTGTTATTGTATTGATGTGTCAAATGAATAGCAATTGGTTTTATAAGTTAATGGAAAAACTTACATTCAGCAAATCCAGCGTAAATAATAGTCCTAATTGTTATACTAATGGCATTGAATTGCAGACAATATCAGCTGTAGTTCCAGAGGCTGGATGTGATTTAAATATCACTGACACCAATGACAACATGAGTGATGTGTCCATTGACTCTCAATATCACTCTTTGTCTGGCAATGAATACAATGGATATCTGAGTATAGCGTGGATTGATTTGACACTAAAAGTGGATAAAACTCTGTATTCATCAGAAAAGCTGATCCTAAGAGGTGTTAACGGATTGTTTGAATTCAATTCAATGAACGCATTGATGGGTCCGTCGGGTGCGGGAAAGACATCACTCTTGCGGTCATTGAACGGAATGTACAGACATTTGATGACTGAAGAGTCAAAGATATATTTGAGTGCTTTTCACACAATCAGGACCTGCTTTATAGCACAGGACCAGAGGGAACATCTCATCACTGGATTGACTGTTAAACAGTCACTCATTTACGCATCCAAACTGAAGAACAGCTGCAGAAGTCGCCTAAACCACGAAATCAATGTCTTTCAATTGATGCAAGAGTTGGCCATAACTGACATAATGGGTGTAAATGTGGAGAAATGCAGTTCCGGTCAACAGAAGCGGATTGTGATGGCAATGGAGTAAGTCGCCTAAACCACGAAATCAATGTCTTTCAATTGATGCAAGAGTTGGCCATAACTGACATAATGGGTGTAAATGTGGAGAAATGCAGTTCCGGTCAACAGAAGCGGATTGTGATGGCAATGGAGTTGACGCCAGACATCAAACCTAATCTCATTTGTGTTGACGAACCCACGAGTGGTGTCGACAGCTATTCAGCGCTTTTAGTAATAATTTTAAATTAAAATATTAGTTTATTAACTCATAATTTATTACTAAATCTATTTAATTAATTAATTTATTTTAGATGATTAAGTGCTTTAAAAAGTTATCCCAAAAGCATAGCCTAACGATCATAACATCCATACATCAGCCAAACCTCGAAATACTAATGCTTTTCGACTCACTGTATGTTTTGGCCAAAGGAGGGCTCACTGTATACTCCGGTCCACCGAAACACCTGTCCTTACATTTACAACAATGCAATATCGCATACAATAGGGAACAGATCCCCATTGAAGTACTCATGAAGATCGCCGCCAAAGGCTTTACTGACCAGAAAGTCATTGAATTGTCGGACAAAACAAATGAAAACTTGGGAAATAACTGCCGACGACTTGAGAGTCAATTAAAATTGCATTCAAACGGCATTTCAATTAAAAACAAACCGTTTTCTATCGTCAATACATACCATCTATTCAACAGATCCATCGCTAATATCTTCACATATCTCTGGAAACAATTGGTGGCGGAAATTATAGTGATGTTAATATTAACATACATTGTAACATTAATATTTGATTTTGATTTCAACCATTTGTCTGGTTGTGTACCGATTGCTGTCAACGGATCCAATGGGTGCCGACAAACGGCACAAGACATGGAAGACCTGAAACTATCCAATTATAACGTCGCGTTGTATGCCTTTCTAATCACCTCTCAATTCTTCTACCAATTAATTCTAAGCGCAATGAAAATGTCATCAGAAATAAAGCTCTTTATGTCTGAACACAGAAATTGTAAGTTAATTAACGTAATTTACAATAAGGTTTACAAACTAAACTGGGTTAACTATTACTATTTTTAAATAGTGTGATTGGTTCAGATTTATAAGCTAATTTTATGTTTTAATTATATAACATTTAATGTTGTCTTGGTAATTTATTGCAACCATAGTCTGGTACAGCACGGAGTCATTCTTTGTGGTCAAATCAGTGATGGATTTAATACCATTGGTTATAATAGTGGTGTCAGTCGTGGCGGTGGTCGACAACTACGACAAAGAGCACACCTATTGGTCACTATTATTGGCGATCGGCTTAAGCTCTATGTCTTTCCAGAGTTTGGGCCAAATGTGTGGCATTTGTTTTGAGGACAACGGAGTTTTAGTGAGCATTTTGCTCATCCCATTAGTTATGGCATTCAGTAATACAGTGATCATGGTCAATGATTTAAACGCATTTCTATTACATATATCACAACTGGATATGTTTGCCGCGGCGATGGGTTATATACGGATTTGGTTTAATGGCTCCGACAGGTGTCCGGAGGGACACATATCTTATATTTTATATCGCTATCATTTAATTGATGCCGATTTTGATAAACAATGGCATCTATTGGTCGGTCAATTGGTATTCCTCAGGCTCTTAACGTATATTTTGCTTAAATTAAAAGTCAATAAGTTTGCGATCATAATCAATATAGACCCCAAAAAAATGCGTTTTTAATGCTTTTGCACCGAAAAAATTATTTATAATTCATTATTACAAATATTAAAGCTGTGTTCAAAGCAATGAATCAAATATTAGTTGTATATAAAGTTAAATTTTTCAGTGACTAACGCATCAAAAACGCATTTTTTTGGGTCTATAATAATCAAACTAAAGAGTTTTAGGCGAATGCTTTTCTGAAACCGATTTATAATTAATATTGTATATGATCAATTTTTGTAATGCTTTGCAATAGATTTATTTTTAATTGTATTATGCGTTTAATTTTTTAAATAATACTATTTATAAATTAGATTTTAGATTAGATTTAATTATATATTTTATTATATTTTAATATTATTTTTAATAATTGAAAACTAATATAACTAATTTAAATTATTTATTTATATGTATTTATAAAGGCATCAAATTATTGTGTAACTTTATAATAATAATATTATTAATAATGTTCTTCACGTTTCGACGTTTTGTGGAAATTAAAAGTTCATTAAAAATATCGCTTGGTTTACAATTATCTTATTTTTCTCATGAGTTATACTGTAAACAGTCTACTGATTGGATAATAGATATATTCAGTTCATTACGTAAACAATTAATTGTGAAATAGTTTTGTTCACTTGCTATAAATATATGTATCATTAAATTTCTAATTTTTAATTGAAAGGCAAAACAAAACATTATAAACTTTATATTGTCCATTAGGATTGTATATTAAAACAAGTGTTGTATTGCAACAAATCGTTCAAATTTAAAATTTTAATAAATAATTAGCAAATTGTTAAAACATACTCATTAAATAAATTATTGAAAGAAAATAAAAGAAAAGTAATATATTTCTAATTAAAAGATTAAAATGTATACAAAATCATGGAGAAAGACATTCATAATAATTCACAAATAGTTTAATTTTAAATAACAAGTTATCCTCATTAAACTTCGTATTTATTACATTTATTATAATTATATCGGGTATATCTTTTAAGCGAAACAATATAAAATTTTTAAAATGCAAACTAAAGTTCCTTGTATCTAGTTTATTCTGTTGAAAAATTATTTAAATCGTGACTCAATCATAGTAATTATGGGATGCTCATGTTCTGGCTCTGGGTTGAAGGGGGTATTCTATCCAATAAATGTATCCAAGTCTATAATAGGCTATTATTAATAGCAAAGTTTGATAAAATATTGCAGTATTACCACTAATACTGCCAATGCATTACCCATGGTATACAGTATGTACCGTACAGTACGGTACACTCCATACAAGCTCTACCATCCCGTACAGTACAGTACATCCCATACATAGCTCTACCATAAATAACCACATCTGGCATAGCGTATGACATGCAGTACTGGGCCTACAGTGGTTGCATAACCACTGCCCAGTCCTGCATACCATACACTATGCATACACTCATAAGTATATATGCTGTACACTCGTTTACAATAGCGGACAGTCCTCTCTTAGCTCTGGTCAAGTGATGATCAGAGCGTTAGTTAGTTATTTCCCATCCCATTAGGATAGCCTTTAGTTATGGACTGAGTACTGCATAAGCCCTCCGTTTAGACCAACTTTTTATACTTTATTTTATTGTACCTTTATTTGTATTGTGTGCGCTTTAATAAATAGTTTTGCGGCAAAAATGTGCATCTATTCAACTATAACGCTCCGCGCGCGCCCCGGCATCAGTGAGCCAAACCCCACGGTGGGTGTCAGGTAAGTCCCATACGGGAGGTCTACCCCATGGTAAGTGCCCGAGTGCCGGGACATTACTGTATTAATTGCGCGCGTACCGTACGATAATATTGCAATATTTAATAAAGATTTTTTTATAACTAAAATAAATTAATAAGCTCAGTAAAAAAGTGCGTTTTGGTGCTTTCTTCACAGAAAAACATGACTTTAGATACGAGTAATGTTTGATTCATTGAATGATTCAATGCTTTATTAAACACAACTTTAATATTTCTAATAAAATAATTTATTTTTTCTGTGAAGAAAGCACCAAAACGCACTTTTTTACTGAGCTTATAAATTAAATGTATTTAGCGTTATATTTGCCAGTAATTGCCAGTAATCTATGGAATTTGTTTCGAGGTCAATAATTTGTTGATTCAAAACTAGGCATATGGAACTTACATTACATTTTACAGATTTGATCTAGATAATTTAATTACATTGCTACTTTAAATAATACATATTCAATACATAGGCAAAATTGACAATGATAGATTTTGCATGTTTAACCTTTTCGGGTTTTGTTTTGATCTCGCATTTCTTTTCAATAGCAACTCCGGTCACATCCTTTGCTATATTCACCACAACATTTATATTATACGTTACTCTAAGTAAGGTGACCAAACGTCCTCTCGCCGGGAGGATCGTCCTCCCCTGAACCATTTTGTGCACCGTACTCCCGAGACCCTGGGGAGGACTATACAATGTCCTCCCAAGTGATATTGACAATTTAGCAATAAAAACTAATTTTTCTTATATAAATTTTTACAAGTTTGTATATAATTCATTCTTTTAAGCATGAAATTCAGTTATATACTGTATTTGTTATATTAATTTATTAAATTAATTATTAGTATATGCGTATAGTAAAATTAATGACATTAATTATGTTTGAGCTTTGACAACATTTTTATAAAACAAATCAAAAAGTTTTAAAAGTTCTATTCAAAAAATGGCATTATTTTATAATAATGTGATCAAATAAATGTAAATAACAGAACCAATTAACAGAATAAATTAACTAAATAATTTTTAGCAATAATTATTTATGTTTATATATAAAGGTTTAGATGTCTTATATTAATTTGTCAAGTTTCGATAATTATTGCATTTTAGCTGGACACTATTTAAAGTTTTTCCACTTTAAATTAACAAATTAATATTAAATTTATTACTATAACCATGAAAATAATTGAGATATTCATCTAATGGAAGATAATATAACAATAGTGATACATTAAATTAAGTTTAAAATAATAAAATACATTGTCCTCCCCGCGTCCTCCCCTGAGACAGAAAATTTGTTAATTTGCCCTCCCCTTGTCAAAAAATTTCTGGTCATCCTAACTCAAAGCATAAGAGTCTAGGGCACAACATGCATAAAACAATTATTTTTAAAAATAATTATAATTACATTTATAAATATGTTTTTACGGATAATATTTGTTTTTAGATTTCATTTGTAGCCGAAGGTTTAGTGAGATGTTCATCCGGTTTATAATTAAATAATATAGGATTTTACTAATAATTCTCAGTAAATGGAATACTATTAACACATACGGGCATTTAAATTAAAAACATGTCGGTTCTCTCAAAATAACTACTATAACTTGCTCAATTCAAATACTACTCTATCGATAGCGGCAATTAAACATTTAAAAAAATTTACAACAACAATGTTTGTAAAGAATATAATACTTCTATATTAAATGTATTGAATTAATATTTCTAGATTTAAAAACAGCCCAAACCTGTGGTCACCGCAGCAATGAATCACAACGGAGTCAACAAATCTGGTCGCAAATACCCGCTGCCGGCAGAAGCGGTCACAGTATTGCCCTATCATTACAACCAAATCCACGCGCGTATAGACGCGCAGTCCAGGCAGTGGCTCCTGGAGTCCAGTCTGTTTACGCCGGAGC